CATCTGCACCTCAGACTGTGCACAAGTACTGCATGGGAGCCTTGCTATCGTTACACTGCAGGTAGGACAACTGTAGTCAGAAAGGTGAACTGATGTAGCCTATCAGTGGTAGAGCCAAGTTCCAAACAAGTGTATCAGATTTCATAGTGACTGCTCCCACAGATGCATTCCTGTATGCTGAGGGCAAGACATATATAGTTTTCTCTGTGTATTTGAATATGGCTATATTTCTATGTGCACATGATCATTACAAAATATCATATGTGCTCACATGAATCAGGGAGGTTTAAATGAAGGGTCTCTAATTTCACTATTAGTTAATATTTGGTTGACAAACCCTCAAGTGGATATGAGCATCTTTTAGATATATGACAATTCAGTTCTTGTTGAGTTAGGATAGGTCAATGGAGTGGAGTCATCTTAGCATCACTTCACTAACAAGTGATAGGGTTATAATAAACTGGCTTATCACCATGGGTACCAGAATGTGTCCAGCAGCTTGCTTGCCTGGTCCTCAGGAGTACATCTGGCTCTGCCGTCTGGAGACAATGTTGGAAACTGCTGCTCCTTTGATCCCTTCCTCCATCAGGAGACTGAGTCCTTAGGCTAGGTCAGCAGACATGTGTGCACAGAGGAAGAGAATCAAGTCCAGTCTCCCTCTGTGAGTTAATGACCAAAATGCTTTGGGTTCACTAGTTTCCTCCTCTGTATTGTTTGATACCCTATGATTCAGAGATAGCAATGTACAGTTCTCCCCATACTGCTTCACAAGGATAGTGTGAGGGTGACTAGTGGGTCAGAGCCCTTGGCAGGAAGCATGAATAGTAGTTTAATACACTCAGGGTTGTGACACTGAGCCAAGCCAAGGTACCTGCACATTCACAGGGTTAGGATTTTGGGCTGATGAAATATTTCTTTTGAAGTCAGTAAGGCCAGAATCAATCAATCAACAACAAAAGCAGTTCAGAAACTGACCTTTGCACTCCTAGATCTCAGTGGGAAGAGAAACATAAATCTTGTTTTTATGTCAAAAAATATAGGGCAACATTTTAAGTTTCCCAGAGATTAAAAGGAACAAAGAATGTATGAATATCAATATTCCAAGGCCCATCTAAATACATGCCTGTTTTATTTTAATATGCCCAGTGTCAGAATGGGCATATATCATAAGTCCGTATTTATTACCCTTGTTATACATATTTCTCTGCCTTAAGTTGTCAAGTCTGGTAAGCTGGGACAAAATCTAGTTAGTGCTTTCTGCAATGCATGTTACACTGTTATGCATAATTAGACATTAAAGGGCGTCTGATAGAGATAATTATGAAGAATGAGGACTTTTGATTCCATGGGAGGCACATGGTGAAAGGCCCTGTACTTCCCACAATGTCCTAGAACCATCTAGTTAACAGACACTTGTGCACAGGAATCAGCAGTATCAACATTGCTCAGGACACCCTGACAGAAAAACAAAGCCCAGACAAGAGCCCAAACATACTGAATTAGGATCTACAGCTTCATAAGACACCCAAGTTGCTTCTACACTCATTAACGTCTAGGAAGCATATACTCAAGGCTCATCCAGTTCAACTGCTTCGTTTTACAAGTGAGGAGGTTTCAGGCCCAAACAGGCTGAGGGACTAGCAGGGTGTAACCTGTCCTTCTTGAGACTCCAACAACCAGATTCCAGAGTTGTACAGCCTCCGGCTCACTCTGCAATGTTCTTCCTCATATGACCCTGCTATGGGATGTTGGGATTTAAAACGTGAATAAGCAGCACCCTGTTTGCTCGTCATGGGGTCTATTCGTTCTTTAAAGATTTAATTATTATATATGTGTCTACATGAGGGTTTGTGTACATATGAGTGCAGGAGTCTGTGGAATTTTGACGAGGTCATTGCATTTCCTGGAGCAAGAGTTACAGGCAGTTGTAACTGCCTGACATGGATGCTGGGAATAGAACTCAGGTCTTCTGGAAGAATAGTTCCTGCTCTTAACAACTGAGCCAATGCCCTACCCAGCACCTGTATTCTTCCAATGCCCTATATACATTTACAAGATGGTAGGGGTGGAAATGGAGATAAGCATTTCTCAGGAGTAGACTTGTTTACCACATGCTGCCTAGGGTGACAGATGATGTATGGAACTGGACAACATGTTTTGGGGTGGTGAGCTGGAAATCCCCATATTTCTACATATCTCTGGTCCAGTGATGCAGCCCTGACCATGGTTCTCCTCTGACCCTATTCTTTACTAATATATCCTTTAAAGTCACAGCTTATACATGCTCTGTCTTGGCATTCTAGAGCCCAACAAAACTGTCAAACCCTTAAGGATGTGCATTCCAAACAAGATTAGAATCACAGGCTCAGAAACCTATTTGAGTTTCTGGTTGGTTTTCTAAGCCACCCCCAAAAGCAGTTCTTTCATACCTTGCCAGTCTGGATATTACACACTTCCTAAAAGAGGCTTGGAGACATTAATTTCTAAGTAGGAGAATTTGATTATGGTTCCCCCCTATATTTCAGCTGTGAATATAAAGGACATTCAGTAATATCCAGATGACATCAATGTTGTGCCACTAGTGCTTTGAGTCTTAAAGGGACAGACAGGCTCTTTCATCTGTCTGTCTGGCAGGCATCTGTCTTCAATCACATATGAACAGCAACTGGTCCCCTCCCAGCCTCTGGTGACTTTCCTGGGAAAACATTAATTTCCCCAGGTATGAAGAGATTGTATGTTTGTCCATAACAATACTTTGTCGAGCAGTTGGGGAATCAGAAAGGGGCACGTGGGATGTGAGTGTTGCACCGAAGGAGGCATGATTTAAAAAACATAAGAGAGTAGATAAATCAATAACTCAAGATGTGGAAAGAATATTAAAGTGTTGCTGAAAGTAAAACACTAAGAATTGCCGCAGAGGACGACGAATTGATCCATGTTCTACAGATTCCTAAATAAACCATGAGATCAAACCACTGCTCTCCTGAAAGGGCTGTGGGGCCCCTACAGCTCCACTGTAGGCTGGGGCTCTTCCTCTGGATGCTACAAACCTGTCCCCTCCCCCTAGACCTGATCTCCACTGTTCTCCACCTACCCAGTTCAAACCAGTTTCTCTGACCTCTTCACGCCTAACATTTTTGTTTGTTTGTTTGTTTGTTGTTTTGTTTTTCGAGACAGGGTTTCTCTGTGGCTTTAGAGGCTGTCCTGTAACTAGCTCTTGTAGACCAGGCTGGTCTCGAACTCACAGAGATCCACCTGCCTCTGCCTCCCAAGTGCTGAGATTAAAGGCATGTGCCACCACCACCCGGCTCACGCCTAACTTTTGTGTGTACAAAAAATAAATACTAGGTCTCTGGACTACAGACTGTTTTAGATCAACGGTGAGATCTCTGATCTTCCTCTTCATCACCTCAACCTTTTTGTATTTCCAACATCCATCTTCAACTTCTTACCCTCCTGTCTACAAAAGCCCAAATTACCACTGCTTATAAGAACATGTATGTACACACACACACATATCCATGTCCACACAAGACACATACATATACATATATATATAAACACACACACACACACACACACACACACACACACACACACACACACAGATTCACAAGCATACCCCCTCCTCCACACCTTCAACCTGAGAGGAAGAGAGGAAGGTAATGAGATCAGAAGAGAGGGGCCTTTGCCTTCTGGGCATGGATTTCCTATCCTCCCAGGCCTGTGAAGAAATAGAGAAGTAGAAAGAGACAGCAAAGGAAGGAAGTTATTTCACACCTTGCAGTAATTCTGAAGTGTTCCTTCTCAGCTTCTACTCTGCAATGTTATGAGTGGAATCTGAGATCCTCTCACAGGCCCCACCCTAGTGTTTTGGACACTAGGTTCCTGGATGGTGTTGTTTGAGAGTCATGGAGCCTTACAGAGATGGGGCCTAGCTGGCAGAACAGGCCCTAGGACAAATCTTCAAGAGCTCTATCTTCCTCTGGCTTCTCCTTGCTCTCTGCTTCCTGGTCTGTTGTGGTGTAAGCAGCCTCTGCCATAGGCTCCTGAGGCAATGAGGCCGCCCGCAAGGTGGCTTAAACATCTAGCCTGCTTAAAAGCAACCTCAAAACTTTAAAATCTGTTAACAATGATTCTTCAAAAGCAAACACTCAGGGGACTAATGGAGGGTGATTGTGTGAGACCAGCCCCCCAAACAACCACACTCTTCACAACAAAATGACTAAGAGGAGTTAATTCCCCTGCTTGCAGAGGACTTTTCTTCTAAGGACTTCCAAAAGTAGTTTATGCCATAAACAGATGCATCTCAAAAATGGAGAGCTATCTGGGGTTAGCACACAGGCTAAGTCGGAACATCTAAGCATAGAAACAAGTCCTCTAAGACATCAGGAAGACCTCATGTATGACAAGGTCCCAAGCCCATGGATGGCTCTGTCAATTTTATGCTTCTTTATTTAGAGCAAGCCCCTCCCACTCTTGTACCATGTGCCTCCTCCTACAGCAGTAAGCACTGTGTGCTGAAAATGCATAGGCCCTGTTCTCTACCATTCATCTGACTACAAGCCTGCTGTCACCAATACCACACAATTCCCATTTATAGACTGAAGCACTGAGAGGTGAACTGTTTGCTCATGGTCACAGAAGCAGGAAGAGGAACAGTGAGAGACAGAAAACCATACAAAGAGTTTGGTTCTAGATTACAAACTCAGACCCTCACCCTTTTCTCTATTTTACAACCTTTCACCCACTTCTTTATCTTCTTTCTTGCTGATGCTGGAGTTCTACCCTCAGCAACACTAAGGCAAAGAAATCACTTGTCTGAGAAACCCAGGCTGACCTCTCCTCCCAGTAGCAATCATACAGATTAGCAGCCAGAGATGGCCCAGCTTTGGTTTCAAGTAGCCCTTCCATCCCTCCATTTCTTCCTTTGTTTTTGTGCTTTTCCTTATATAAATTCCCCTTCTTTGCTAAATTTTTGTTTTTTCTTTTCTTAATCATAAGACAGAGCACAAACGCTTTCCCTCACTACCACAAATAATGCAGAGGACTTTCCCATATCTGGGGAGGTCACAGGGCACAGTATTATCAAGAATGCTAAGATAAGCCTCACCTCAGAAAATCACCTTTATGACTATGTTGTCTATATCCCTCCCTTCTTTCTCCTTCCTTCCTTTGCATCTGTGTATTGCAGGTGCCCAGAGAATTCAGAGGGAGAGTATTGGATCCTCTGGAGCTGGAGATACAGGTAGTATTGAGTCACTTGGTGTGGGTATTGGGAACTAAACTCCAGTTCTTTGCAAGAGTAGCAAGCATCAATAATCCTCTGCAGCTGGAGCTAAAGGTAATTGGTGTGGGTGTTGGGAACTAAACTTCAGTCCTTTGCAAGAGAAACAAGCACTCTTAACCTCTGAGCTGTTACTCTAGCTGCCATCCTTTATTGTGATGGTGCTAGGAATGGAACCTAAGATCCTAATCATGCTAGACAAGAGTTCTGCCATTGAACTATGTTCCCTAACCCTACTCTCTTACTTTTGACCAGTGCAAATGTTAACATAAAAGCAAAATAGAGTAGAGAACTCAAACACAGAATCTACAAAGTCAGCCATTTCTCAGGTAATCACAAAGTAGCCTGGAAGACTCTTATAGTCATGGAATCTTCAGGCATCCTTCAATCATAGCACTGCTTGTCCAGTTTCCTGATAGCCTCCTGTCATGTACTCCTCCATCAGACAAACAGCCCTTCTAATGATACTATAGTTTGTAACACCACTGTGCTTAGATAATACTGAACTACTTGGGAGTTCAATATCAAACAATAGCTTTACTTCTGAATGCCTACTTTGCAACAAAAATGTGCTCAGTGTTGCCAAGTGTGTCAATATGAATAGCTTCCTAATCCTTCCATCATGCTAAATTTCTTCTGCAAAGATCTTTACTTCCATTTCCTCTGGTGTTAACTCCTTTAGACTGAGTTAACGAAACTCACAAAGGACTTTCATATTTGGGTCCACTAAGAAGAGAGATCAGCAAGAATGGGGCAGGAGACTCTGAGCTATAAAACTGAAAATGGCTCATGGCTCATTAGAAAATCAGACGCTGAGGAAACATTTCCTCTTTCATGAACCAAAATCATCCCATAAGCCTTCTGTTGAAACTCGGGAGAAACCACCCGAAGATCTTTAGCAAGAAATGTTACAGCAATTATAACAATGAAGAAGATAGCCTCCCAAATGTAGAAGGAGAAACTCTAGTTGCTGTGTCTGGTTTCCTTTTACTGAGTAACTTAAACAGACAGACTAGTGATTTCAACCTTTCTGAGGCTATGAGGTCCTGAGTTCAAGAACTGTAAATTTGCTAATAATAACAGGCAAAAATCATTAAGTAATGTAGGCCCAGAAAGAGTATGACCATACAAATTGCAATTACAAACATGATAGGAAGGCCTTAGAAGCTATTAGGAAAAAATGTGGGGAACATGCTAAAACAAAAATGAAAGCAATGGAGCTTTTACCAAAGAGATCAGATGGTCTGAATACCTTTAAGGGGGATCCTGTTCAGGCGGGTGGGCAGGGAAACAGCACACAGTTCCAGAAGGAGTGACAACTCTCACAATCATAAAAGGCAAGAGTGACCACGCCAGATGTTGGTGTGGCCAAGCACATACCACTTGTGCGGAGAATAAGCCAGAGCTGTCTTGATGGGGAGGTCAGTAAAAACACTTCCTGTGCTTTAAGAAAGAATGTCTCATAATATCTGGAGGCAGCTGCTGGGGACAGTACCCACACCACAGTACAGAATGATAAGGAGAGCAGTAAGTCTTCCTCAGGGAAGAGCAATCCTTAGATATCTGTGATTTGTGGAAACATTTTGGGAGTGTGACATTTCTAATTCTTCCTAAGGAAAGTTAGAAATCTGGAGTTTCTATTATAGTTCACAATGTTTAAATACATGCTACTAATACAAGTCAAAAGAAAAATACATTACTAACATTATGTAATTGTATACTCTTCAATAAAATGTCTACACCTTTGGTCCAATTCCTCTTTCTCCCACTGCCCTTTTTTGTGTGGCCCAAGGAATAGGCCTAATAAGCAATCAAGGCCAAGTGCTGAGTTACACTTCCAGGCCACATGCGAACAAACAGCTTGGACATGATCTAGAGGTTGTTGCTGTTGTTGCTGGAGTTGAGTTTCTCAGGCCTCTCTTTTGCAAACAGGGTTTACAATTATTCTCTCCCATTCTGTAGCTTGCCTTTTCAAACCCTAACAAGGTCTCGTGTGAAGCAAAGTTTTTAATAACATTCTACTTATCAATATTTCCTCCCACATATCCCTTCCCATAAGCACTTTTGTGTTCTGTCTAAACATCAGGTGAGCACATTTGTGTGAGCTATCTCTGCATTTTCTACCATGTTCCACTGATGTTTAGCCTTCTCTCAATGCTATTTGCTCTGATGTTTCAAGATTGCTGAAGCTATTCTAGTCCTTGTTTTATTATATAAGTCTTAGAATAATTTTGCCTAGGTCTACAGGAAATCTTGCTGAGATTTTTAGAGAAACTGTGTTAACCCAGTACACCAACTTTGGAAGCGTCAGCATCTTCTCTATGTTGGAGTCCCCTCAGCCATGAAGGCACTCTGCTTCATCAGCATCTGAGTTTTTTTTTTCAAAATTTTTTTTTTTTTTTTTGGTTTTTCAAGACAGGGTTTTTCTGTGGCTTTGGAGGCTGTCCTGGAACTAGCTCTTGTAGACCAGGCTGGGCGAACTCACAGAGATCCGCCTGCCTCTGCCTCCCGAGTGCTGGGATTAAAGGCGTGCTCCACCACCGCCCGGCTTTTTTTTTTTTTTTTCAATTTTTTAAAAAAATTTTAGTATCTGAGTTTTTAATACACCAGCTCTTCTTAGATTAGAACCAAATATTTTTTTTTCATTTTTGAAATTTTGATATTTTCCCCTCACATAGAATTAACTTTTAAGCATGGTTGTAGGCTTCAAGTGAGTTCAACAGAACATAAAAAATTTCTATATATTCATGGCTCCCTCTTAATACAGTCTCCATCTTATAAAAATCCTGCATCACAGGGATTCATTAGCATGATTAATAAATGCACACTGACATATAATTATTGCCCAAATCACTTGCATTAGGGTTCACTTTTGGAGTATTATGTTAATTTTGTATTTATGTATTCACTTCTAATAATTAAAGAGTACTACTGATCTCTATGTGTTTATCTTGGGTCTTAGGAGCCTCCTGAACTTGCTCACTAGTTCTAGTAGTTATTTTGTAGATTCACTATGATTTTCTGCTGAGACCATTGTATGTAGAGGCAAACGACTTTATCTTTGTCTTTTTGTATGCTATTTCTTTATCTTGTCTTATTGCACCGGGTGGGACTTCTAGCATTACATGGGGTAGAAGGATGAGATTATACACCCCTGCCTTCTTCCCCGTCTTAGGAGGAAAACATTTAATCTTTTCCTATAAAGTAGCTGTATGCTTTTTTGAAGGTATTTGTTTCAAGTTTTATTTTCTGTTTCTTTTGCTTTCTTACACCTTCTGAGATGAGTAACATGAATGTTGGTTAGAATTCCATTTTGACTTATCATCAGTGATTTTAAGTATATGTCTTTGTATAGTTTTAGTGGGTGCTGTGTATATTATAAAATACACACACATATGTACAATATGCATCATGGTCTACTGCTTTTATTACTAGAACTTTGAATTAAGAAAACCTTCATCCTTGTGTGTGTGTGTTCTATCCAAATATATTTCTTCTACATATGTTTAGAACCATATCAGACAATTACAAATTTGTGTGTGTCAACTCCCATGTAAAACTTAGCAAAGTCTCCAGGTGGCAGAGGCAGATCTCTGAATTTGAGCCTGATCTACTTAAGGAGTTCTAGGACATCCAGGGCTACATAAAGAAACCCTGTCTCAAAAAACAAGCAAAAGACACTAAACAAAACAACAACAACAACAAAACCTTAGGAAAGTTTAAAGTCTTCAGGCATGTTTATGCTCACTGATTTTTTTTTTAATTTTTTGATCTTGTAAGATTGTTACCTCTTTTTTGGGGGTATTTCCTTTAGCAATTCCTCAAGCAGATCCACTGGTGATAGATGTCTTTGTTTTAGTTCACCAGAGAATACCTTGATTTCCTTTTCTTCCTAAAGGGTATTTTCGTGGGACACAGGATTCTGAAGAGGCGGTTCTTACATCGCTTGAACTATGAAGAGTCAATTCTTTTTTATCTATATAGTCACTGATGAGCAATCCAAGGCCATTCAAGTTGCAGCTCTCACAAGTGCTGCTAACTTCTCTTAAGACTTACCATTAGTGTTCAGAAGCATGATGCAACTTGGTGTGGGTTTCTTTGGGCTTATTTTGTTTGAGGTTAACTCAGTGGATTAGCTTCATACTGCTGCTGCAACAAATTGTCACAACTTTAGTAGTTTAAAATACTTTAGATTTATTATCTTACAGATCTGGAGGTGAGAAGTCATGTACTCCATCTGGAAGCACAAAGGAGAATGAATCCATCTTCTAACTTCTCCAGCTTCTGGATGTTCCTTGCAGATGACTTCTGACCTTGTATCACAGTGTTCTTCCTGTCTCTTTTATGAGAACTTTTGCTATTATATTGGGGCCCAATTATATAAGACAAGGTATTTTGTTAGCTAAAAAACCCTCAATCATCTCTACAAGGTCCTTTTATTGTGTAATATAACGTACTTACAATTTTAGGGACCAAGGTGTTGGCATCTGTTGCAGGGAGAATTATTCAGACAACTATATTGCACTTCTTATATCTGAAGCTTTTATAAATTTTCTGGTCAAATTTTGTAGGTTTCAGCTACTTTCCCAGATGTTTTAGTTCCCTGCCTTTCCCTATTCTTTTTACCGGGCTATAAAGATGCAATGTTAGATTTTTAGTTCACTCTTAAGGTTCCTGGGGTTCTGGGTTTTTTTTTTGTTTGTTTGTTTGTCTTTTGTTTTTGTTTTTCTCTCTCCAGTTTACTTTCTCTCCATTATTCACACTGGGTAATTTCTATGGTCCTAACTTCCAATTGACTGATTCTTTTCCACCTCCTATTTGCCTCTGCAGCTTATCCACCAATATTTTCACTCTGGCTACTATACTTTTCATTCC